TATTATTATTATTATTATTATTATTATTATTATTATTATTATTATTATTATCATTATCAATATTATTAATATACTATTATCATCATGACAATATTATGATTATATTTTTAATACTGCTATTATAATTATTATTAATGATATTATTATTATTATTATTATTATTATTATTATTATTATTATTATTATTATTATTATAGGGAAAAGGTCAGGGTTGATCCGAGGAAGGAAAGGGTGGCTCCACTTCCCAGGATCAAGATCCACTGGAGAGAGTAAGGAGACTCACATTGTGACGCCAGGAGACGCGCGTCACCCTGGGATTGGCGTCAATGGAGCACTCGAAGTACACATCATCACCCTCCTTGATGTTGCTGGCGTCTAGCGACGCACCGAACCTGCACGACGCCTTCGGTACGTCTGTGGGGATGGAAGGGGTAACGTAATGGGTGCGTTATAGGGGGGTTGTGGAACGGTGGAGGCTCGATCCACCGTCACGGGGGATTGAGACCTTCAGGACTATGTTGACTGGCACGATCAGTGGCGCCTCTACGCGTCTATTATATAAGAAGGATCACCTAAACAGAAAAATCAGACGCTGTGGTTGATAGACCTTATAATTCACAATATTATGGCTGCAAGCACCTTAAAAGCCACAGTATCGTGCTACAGCCACCATATTGTGAATTTGTAATATCGTGGCTGTAACACCTTAAAATTCGAAATATTGTGGTTGCAACACCTTACCAATCACAATATCGTGACTACAGCACCTTAATAACCACAGTATCGTGGCTGCAACACCTTAACAACCTCAATATCGTGGTTACACATTAACAAGCACAATATTGTTCCTGCAAATCCTCAACAATCACAATATCGTGATTGCAACACCTTAACAATCACAATATCGTGGCTACAGCATCTTAAGAATCATAATACCTTAAAAATCACACTACTGTAGATGTAACGTTAAAATCCCAAAGTAAAAGTAACACCATGGCTATAACACCTTAAATAAACAACTAACGGGATAAGATACTGTAAAAGACGGTTTATTTCATCGTGGTCCTACATGATAAGTTTTTTTTTTTTTTGCAAACTGTTGGTTGTAAATTTCCTGTAAGTTTGCTCCTCTACCACAGGAAAAATTGCTATGCAAATTTATACAAATTTTTGGTTTGATCTTTATTTTAGATTTGCCTCGAAAACTTATATAGCCAACAACTCAGCCTTACTAAAATTTATGTGACATAGTATTTCTTAATTTACTCAGATTTTCTAAGAATTCACTGATTTATACAAATTTTTGACATGTCCTGCCTTTTATATTTGCCTCGATGTGTAAAAACTCAGCTAAGCCTTGCTAAAATTTACGTGACATAATATTGCTTAATTTACACAAATTTTCTAAGGATTTACGTAATTTATCTATTTTACCAGGGGGATAGGAGAAACATTTTTTTAGGTGACAAAAAAGAAAGGATGTAAATGAGAGTCATATTTTGTGGGTCAGTTCCTTTTTTTTTTTCTTATTACCTCCAGGGACTAGGCTTGAGGCCCTGCCTCAAGCCTCGTCGAGTACGCTCAGATATTGGAGCTTAAGACTCGGCTTCAACTCGCTCTCAGTCGTGTTTGAGAAATATGTGTAATATAAATATTATGCAGTGAATTCGGAGCTAGTGATTAAAAGATGTGGGATTACCACATATATTATCCAGACTGCTGGGGTGAAGTTGAGATGGTGTTGACATTTACAGACGATTGTGCTAAGGTCCTTCCGACATCATATTACTCATTCCTAGTAACCTGGGGGACTAGGGCCAGCCTTTCCCATGAGACACCCCCAACACCACCCCCAACATCATCCCCATCACCACCGTTACACCACCCCCTCCCAACCCCAACACCGATGATCCTCAGGGATTCAAACATATTTGTGATTTTTTTTAGCATCTCCAGTTTTTTCCCCTTGTTTCAGGCAAATAATAAATACAACAAAGTTGGTGTATTTGGTTACAGAGAAATTGAGGTTATTCTCATTTTCTGTTTGAAAATTTGCCCTGAAAAATGTGAGTTGTCTGAACCTCAGAAATGGCATAATTTTTTGATTGAGATTCTTTCTTACAGGAAAGGAAATATAACAAAGCAACATTTTTCTTGAGTTTAAGGAATTACACATTTTTAAGGATTACTATTTTTTTTTGCACGAGGAACAGAATATTTTGCTCGAATTCTTGGTTTCCGAGTAAAATTAACCCATATCAAAAATGACTTGAGGCTTCTTGCTCTCGTAGCAACCTGATATAGACATACATTTTCTTTCACACCGTTGAATTTACAAAGGTGTTCACTGTTGAATTTACAAAGGTGTTCACTGTTGAATTTATAAAGGTGTTCACTGTTGAATTTACAAAGTTGCTCACTGTTGAATTTACAAAGGTGTCCACTGTTAAATTTGCAAAGGTATTATCCCACCCCGGTTCATTTCAAAGCCCAGCCCTGTTTAAGATATACTACCACCCACAACAGCCACCTAACACTCAGATAACTATTGACTACGAGGTAAATAGGTGTGCAACAGGTATAAGGGGATTTACACTTGTTGACTCTTCACGACTACTGTGCTCTTCAGTAACTCCAAGGCTGTGAGACTGATTACCTATCTTCTGTATACAGTTCTATTGTTCTTCCAGTTATGTCCTTGAATTTGTATTGATAAAGCCACTGAATGGAGAAACGTCTACAATAAAGATACCCAGAGAACGTCTCCATCGTTCCCTGTCACGTCCCTCTTCAGCAGGGTTGGCCTGATTCCGGTGAAAGGGTCGAACTCTAAAAGAATCAGTCACCTGTCCCCTTCTTCACGTCAACCCACATCTGATAGAACCCTTACGGGATTATCATTTGCCCATAAATACAATAATATGCACCCGTCCTGTGAGAACTCTTACTGGAATAAGAATTAATATCTTTGTGATGTAAATTGTTAAGAAAACCGACAAGTTGAAGAGATACTTGTGCAATGTTTGGATATCTTTATTGAGGAAACGTTTCTCCTACCAGTAGCTTTCTCAGTCCAATACAAAAATAAATGGTTAAAGATGAGGAGGAGAATGAGGTAATCAGTCCCCAGTCCCCCAGCCTGGAGTCGATGTGTTCAGACCATCACTTTTATCATGAACGATGGACTGAACTAATAGACTCCAGGGACTGATTACCTCATTCTCTTCATTTTTCACCGTTTTCCTCTGAATTGGACTGAAGAAGCCAGTGGTTGGCGAAACGTTTACTCAATGAAGATTTCTAAATGCTGCACAAATGTTTTTAATATCTTTGATTACATCGCATCATCACCTAGAGAGCCATGGGAGAATGGGAGGCAAAATGTGAGGCAAATCAGATTCGTTTCAAGGAGAGGGAAGACCGCTCCATTTCTTCCGATCAGGATCCCTTTATCGGTGTCAAGACCGGTGAGGGGGATCGTGAACTCCTTCGAAGGGAAGTTGAATTTTTTTGAAGGAAGTTCAACTCCTTTGAAGGAAAGATGAACCCTTGCACTGAAGTTGAACTACCTTGAAGGGAAGTTGTACTCTCTTAAAGGGAAGTCAAACCTCACCGAATTGAAGGAAAACTGAACCCCTTGTAGGGAGTTCAACTTCGAAAGATTGTTCTTAGTTGACTCTAACTTTGAATACAAGCGACAAAAAAGAAACAATTCCCCTTGAGCAAGACTTTATTTTACAAGTCTGCGGGAAAGGTCTAGGATACAGTACCATTTTCTAACCTCGTAATTTATTCCATGTACAGTTTAAATGAGTTTTTCCGGAGAACAATCTAGCGGGCGACCGCCCATCTGCTCGAGATGGTTCCTGGAGTCTCGTCAAGCCTCAGGAACGTCGCCTCTGGTGGAATTCCAGCCATCATCGTCTTGTTTACGACCAACCGTTATTGTAAATTGGGTGAAACTGCTTGTCAAGTCTTCCTCTCCTCGGAGATATTTCTAATTTACCGCAAAACGCAGAGCAGTGAAGGGACGAGGGGTAAGACATTGTTTATGCTCTCTCTCTCTCTCTCTCTCTCTCTCTCTCTCTCTGTCTCTCTCTCTCTCTCTCTCTCTCTCTCTCTCTCTCTCTCTCTCTCTCTCTCTCTCTCTCTCTCTCTCTCTTACACAAGATTTGACACGGTTAGGTTAAGGATCCCTAGCTTTATTGACAAGCTATTTACAGGTTAAGGATTTCTAACTTTAATGACATGCTAAGAGCTGTTACCTACATCAGCTCATTTGGAACCATTGTTATTGGTATGAGATATACAAGTATTTTTATTGTTATGAAACATACAGGTAGGGAACAGGATGAAGTTAGCGCCATCTGTGGGCCAGCATTTTCATTTGATCAACTAACTTTATCACGTTGACATTATAATGCTGTACGAATGTGTTCCATACTCGAGTCATCCTGAGGATAAATGATCTCAGATGAAGTGATGTTCTGACGGGTAAGCCAGAGTGAAGTTGCTGCTTTCTGCCCTTCTTGTGGTATAGAAGCTTGCTTCACGCTGTCCTCGAAGTGGATCCAAGTGTGGTACTTTGACAATATTGGCCTTGTACATAACAGTAAGGCCACCCACATCCCTCCTGTGTTGAAGGCTCTGCTGAAATGACAGATCTATCCAGGATTCGTCCAGGCGAGAGATGAGACGTCTTGCTCTGTTCTTTAATTTGCCAAGCAGTCGCAGATGAGAGGGGGAGGCAGGCAAACCAAGAAAGTGGAGCATACTCAAGGTGTGAGCGTACTTGTGCGTCGTACAAAATCTTGCAACCCCTACTGTCAAACAGATGCGAGATGCGGCGAAGTGCTGTAAGCTTTCTGGCTGCCTTGCTTGCAAGATTTACAACGTGGTTCTTCATGGTCAGTTTGGAGTCAAATTTTACCCCAAGGATATCAACGTCTTCCCCAGGTGCCAACATCCTCCCATTCATCCTTACTACTGCACCGGCATTACCATCATGGTGCCTCGAGACCATCATCATTTGTGTTTTCTCAGGTGCAAATGTTACTTGCCATCTATTTCCCCGAGCTGATATAGCTCTTAGCTGGTGATTGATGTAGCTTAGAGCAGCTGGCAGTTCTTCTTTTGGATAAGTGAATGTCACTGTACAGTCCTCTCTCTCTCTCTCTCTCTCTCTCTCTCTCTCTTCTCTCTCTCTCTCTCTCTCTCTCTCTCCTCTCTCTCTCCTCTCTCTCTCTCTCTCTCTCTCTCTCTCTCTCTCACAGTCTGTGTGTGTGTGTGTGTGTGTGTGTGTGTACGTGAACTCACTAAGTTGAGCTTACAGGGTCGATGCTAAGCTTCTTGCCTACCAGCTTAACTTCAGTATTTGCCGACATTTGCTGGATTTTGGCCTTTTAGGTCATATCATACCTACTCTTGAAATTGCGTCTACTTTGACTCCACTTTAAGACTGGAAATGTATTCCCCTCTGACTCGTCTGCGCTCTTAACCTCCACTCTCTCTGGTTTGTTCCATGTATTTAACCCTTAAACTGAAACTGTCCAAACGTAGATCTACGTTTTTTCAACATTTGAAATTATGTAAAAAAGTAGATCTTTTTTTTTTTTTTTTTTACATTTGAAAACGTGTAAAAAAACTTTGATCTACCTTTTTTTTTTTGTTATATCTGAAAATATGTAAAAAAACGTAGGTCTACTTTTGGAGGACTACGGATGTGAACGTAGATCTGCTTGGACAGTTTAAGGGTTAAAGCTGTCTCTTATATCGAATCCTTTTACAATTTTATCACGTTTTTCTTCTGGACTTTCTCTCTTCCAAGGTTCTAAGGTTCATTTCCTTGAATGTGTCCATATAGTTCACTCCTTATCAGTCCTCTAGTTTCTGAACAGACTTTTTCAGTCATGAATTCATGCTCATGTCATATATAATAAAATATACATATGTGGTTAAGCTTCTGAAAAAACTTATTTCAGTCAGTGCAAATTGCACTCGCATATGTCATTATATATTCTCATGATGTGGTTCAGTTGTTTAAGAGGTTCTCAAATCTTCCCGATGTATTGATGCGTCAGCTTCCTGCTCCTTATCTTGCACTCTTATGTTTTTATTACAGACTCATATGTCTCTTGGTATGTTCATCCCTCCCACCTCTGTCTTTTATACGATTGTTTTAACTATTATTTAGTTTCATTTACAATATTTTACCACTATTTTGACCACTTTTGTTGCCTGTCCACATTTTCTTGTTATGTGGACTCCAGAAAGATTTTTCTCATTTCCTTCATTATTATATATCACTGAATGGCTTTCATTTCCTTTCCCTATTCCAGTGCACTGCAGGTAGCAAGGTTCTCCTTCCCTCATAGTCTCCTTTCCTCTATTATACCTTTTCATTCTTTTCTCCAGCTCCTATTTCAACCAGATATTCACAGATATTCACAGTATGGTAACTGGCTCCAAGTATTTCTTTAAAATCAAATTTCTTCCGTGTTCGATTCACTTAGGCTAAAGACCAGATGCAGTCGTGTTAGTTCATCTTCTGAACATTGTTCCGAGGCTACAAACAATGCAGAGAAACGGTATGAACGTTAATAAGGTAGACAAAAGAGGATTTTCTGCAGTGGACGAATAATTTTAATAAGTCACGGATATAAGAAGCTATATACAGTGATCAGAAAAGATAACGAACAGGTTCAAGAGCCTTAAGTTCCATCGGTAAATAGCTTAAAGTGGACTAATATTTTTATGATCGTAGGCACAGTAGACGAATTGATTGAAGATACTAGACACAGTCAACGAACCTTTGAAACATGTTTAGCATAGTAAACAAATACCTTTAAAATGCTAGACATAGTAAACGTATACTTTAAAAATGATAGGCACAGTGAATGAACCCTTAAAAAATGCTAGAGCTAGTAAACAAATACCTTAAAAATGCTAGCCATAGTATATGAAAACAGAGATTACCTACACTGAACAGTGAGGTTCCATGTATCCTCCAGGGTAGCTGGGGCGGCGTACGTCTCCACGATGCACCGCAGGAAGGACCCGTTGTCCTGTGGCCGAGGCGTCAGCACAAGACTGCTCGTGGTGACGTTCTTGTCCTCCGACACCTGTACAGGGAGAAACACAATGATGGTGAGGAAGAGAGGATGAAGAGTGTTAATGTGGAAGAGATGGTGAGGTCTAGTGAGAGAGAGAAAGAGAGAGAGAGAGAGAGAGAGAGAGAGAGAGAGAGAGAGAGAGAGAGAGAGAGAGAGAGAGAGAGAGAGAGAGAGAGAGAGAGAAGCTTTAGTGGGAGGTGAGAGAGAGAGAGCTGGAGTGTTTACGAGGGTGATGAAAGCACTGCTAGGAAGAATCAGCGGGAGGTGAGCTTTAACAGAGGGAACTTGGCAGTGACGGGGATAGGAAGGAAGGAAGAAGGGAGGGAGGGAGGAGGAGGGAGGAAGGGAAGGAGTGAGGGAGGAAGGGAGGGAGGGAGGGATGGAGGGAGGGAGGGGAGTAGAGTTAGGAAAAGAATAAGACATTAGTGTGGGGACGGACGATAAGTTAGCAACTCCTCCCCCACAATTCTTCCCCGAGGCTTCCCAAAAGAGGGAGGAAAGGCTGCACGATGACCGTGATAACCCAGGCAGCGGGAGGTGAACTGCAGACGAGCTTAGTGAAAGTCTAGGGTTTCCCAACACCCCAAACTTTTGAAGTCAGTCGTAGTGGTTAGTTTTACAGTGGTAGCCAGAGCTCCTGGTTAAAAAGTGAGCACTCAACCACTAACTTCTCGTGTATATATATATATATATATATATATATATATATATATATATATATATATATAATATATATATATATATATATCAGTGTACCACGCAGAAACAAGCGGGTATATACAAAGAAAGATCGCAGTCAGCAGGATTCGAAACTACTACTGGGGACAGGCAAGATTCCCAGGCAGCGCTCTAGTCCACTCGGCCACACAAATGCCACATAAACTGGGCAGTTGATATAAAAATCGCTAGAGAGGTCAGAATATACAGGAGGAGATTGAAATAGCTTGAATACATACTTGAGGCTGACTGACATGAAGGGCTGGGAAAGAAACATGGCTTTGAATCAGGCTGCCCAGTCCATGTGGCATTTGTGTGGCCGAATGGACTAGAGCGCTGCCTGGGAATCTTGACTGTCCCCAGTAGTAGTTTCGAATCCTGCTGACTGCGATCTTTCTTTGTATATACCCGCTTGTTTCTGCGTGGTACACTTATATATATATAAAAAACATAGCTCTAGGCCTTTCGTACTGCAATCAACACATCATCAGATGAGACGAGAGTTAAAAGGAGTGTATTTCTTACTATGCTTCTGAGAGCTTAGAGTGTGCAGTCCGGAGTTCCTAGATGAAGAAATTATGAAAATATTTGATATTGCCATGAAACTGCGGTATCCTAAGATGTTTATTGGAATCTGCCTTGCTGGCAGCTAGGAAAATTATTAGAGGACAGAACCTAGGATAACACCTCAGACCAAGAATGTGCTGGTCCTCCCATAAAATGAAAATTTATCTATTCTGCCGAGAGCCCTTAAAATATTTAATATACAAGTAGCTTTTCAAAATTCACGGACTGTTAGAACCATTCTGATAAAGAATCACCTCAACAGCGTGATGGTGGTGTCTACAGAATCGGTTGCAACGGTTGTCGTCTCTCTAGTCTCTCTCCTCTCTCTCTCTCTCTAGTCTGTTCCTATTTGGAACAGACTAGAAAACCTTTATAATTTAGATTATCACATCATCGCTATTCGATACGTATAGCACAGGAGTCGAACGTGATTTTCAACCATATTAGAGTTCGTAATAACCCGGCAAACTGGCAGGAAGCTAGAGTCATCTTTCCTTGTTAATCTTGGCTTGAAAGGAATATTGTAGAATCGGCAATTATTAGGCATGATGAGCATTCATTATATAATATCAGTGACAGGTTGTTCAAATTAGATGCGATTTTAGTTGAGGCAATATTACACAGTCAAAAATTGGGCTCTTAAACAAATGCATTAGACTACCTCAAATGTAGTCCCATACTGAAGAATTAGGGACTACTTTTCCTGCATTTTTTAAAGGCTGAACCAGAGTTTGCTTCAGAATCATGTGGAACGAATAACTGTGGCCGTCTTCCTTGTAATGATAGATGCCTCCCTCTTTAAATAAGTTTATTTTGATGAGCCCGGTTTCCTTTGTAAAACTTATAGAAGCTTCGTCCCTTTAAATGGACCCGCGTTCTCGTGGATGGTACTCGATAACTGCCAGTGACTTCCATATCACTGGCAATATAATTATGTATGTAAAATTATTTATATCTTAGCGGAGTCCGACCGAATTTTTCATAATTGCCACGTACTTTCCTTTAGGCTACTATTACAGTATCAACACTTGTGGTATTTTTTCTAATGTTATATGCCTATGGGTACTGGTATGCCTGGGGGCATTTCCTATTCCTCTCTCTCTCTCTCTCTCTCTCTCTCTCTCTCTCTCTCTCTCTCTCTCTCTCTCTCTCTCTCTCTCTTTCGCTCTCTCACCCTCCCTCTCTCACTCTAGTAAATACATCCTCTGGGATCGTATTAGCTCGGATATCCTCCTTTTTTTCTGCAGCTCTGCAGGTTTCTGATGATGTGTTGATTGCAACACGAAAGGCCTAGATCTATTATTCTACTCCCCCCCCCCTGCCGTGGTTGTTTTGCATCCATTATCGCTCGGTTTGTGATATTTACATAAGATATATATATATAAAATATATATTTCATATATAAATATATATATATATATAAAATATATATATATATTGTCAGTGGAACGCCTTCCAACTGAACAAAAGAAATTAATGGAAAAATAAATAAATAAAGAAATGATTTAGGAAAAACAAGAAAAATGATTTTCGAGAATTTTACTTAAAATTTAAATATAATAAAAAAAATATGGCCTTCAGTTCTTGTAGTTGGGTAGGAGTAGGTATGGCCCTGGATAGTTCCTCTGATGTTATTTATTTATGTAGGTTATCCTGGGCAGATGGTAATCCGATGTTCTGGAATCTCCTACCACTTGGATGGAGCACAAGTAGAATAGATAAGGGCTGGTAGTTGTAGAATAATGTTAATAAGTATTATTAACACACGTCTTGCTCCTTTATCTGGCGTCTATCCTGGAAGACCACGCCAGGAACAGAGCTGGTAAATAAGAGAAAATAAACTGGTTACCCATAGTTATGATAATATAACATTTAAGAATTGAAAAGAATGATAAATGCCAAAATCATTACTGGTAACCAGCAAACAAAATAAAGAAACAAACAGTGATACTCCTGGTATATCACCCTACCTGATTAGGAGAAGAGTGGAGGTGAAGTGACTCTCCAAACTTCAACCCACACCAGGTAAGGTCAATATTACCAGGAGTAGAAACTAACAAATCGGACACCAGGAACTAGTTTCGCCCCAGCCCGCCAGAGAGGAGGGGGGGGTGCACGCGACGTAACTAATGGTTCCTGGTTGCCCGAACAACCTTAACCCCACTTACACCTACTTTTCCCTCACAATATATAATATATATATATATATATATATATATATATATATGTCGTGCCGAATATGTAAAACTGGTCAATTAGCAAGAACTCATTTAAAATTAAGTCCTTTCTAAAATTTTCTCTTATGCGTTTAAAGATATATTTTTTTCATTAATGTTGATGTTAAAATTTATAATTTTGCACCAAAAGGAACTTAGAAAACTTACCTAACCTTATCATAACAACAACAATTTATTTTAGCCTAACCCAACTAAATATATTTTAGATTTGTTGACAGTAATTTAATACTAAACAAACACAGTGAAATATATTTTTTTCGTTAGGTTCAGAATGATTTTGGCGAAATTATTGCATACACAAATTTTCACTTGTCCTATATGGCAAGATGAGCGTTGCTATTTAACCCAAAGAGGGCAAGTTCTGCTTATTCGCACGACATATATATATATATATATATATATATATATATATATATATATATATATATATATATATATATATATATATAAATATATTTTTTCAGATACTTGGGAGTTGACGTGTCGGCGGATGGATTTATGAAGGATGAGGTTAATCATAGAATTGATGAGGGAAAAAAAGGTGAGTGGTGCGTTGAGGTATATGTGGAGTCAAAAAACGTTATCTATGGAGGCAAAGAAGGGAATGTATGAAAGTATAGTAGTACCAACACTCTTATATGGATGTGAAGCTTGGGTGGTAAATGCAGCAGCGAGGAGACGGTTGGGAGGCAGTGGAGATGTCCTGTCTAAGGGCAATGTGTGGTGTAAATATTATGCAGAAAATTCGGAGTGTGGAAATTAGGAGAAGGTGTGGAGTTAATTTAAAAACATTAGTCAGAGGGCAGAAGAGGGGTTGTTGAGGTGGTTTTTGGGCATTTAGAGAGAATGGATCAAAGTAGAATGACATGGAAAGCATATAAATCTATAAAGGGGGAAAGGGAAAGAGGGGTAGGGGTCGTCCTCGAAAGGGTTGGAAAGAGGGGGTAAAGGAGGTTTTGTGGGTGAGGGGCTTGGACTTCCAGCAAGCATGCGTGAGCGTGTTAGATAGGAGTGAATGGAGACGAATGATACTTGGGACCTGACGATCTGTTGGAGTGTGAGCAGGTAATATTTAGTGAAGGGATTCAGGGAAACCGGTTATTTTCATATAGTCGGACTTGAGTCCTGGAAATGGGAAGTACAGTGCCTGCACTTTAAAGGAGGGGTTTGGGATATTGGCAGTTTGGATGGATATGTTTGGGGTATCTCTATACATATATGCTTCTAAACTGTTGTATTCTGAGCACCACTGCAAAAGCAGTGATAATGTGTGAGTGTGGTGAAAGTGTTGAATGATGATGAAAGTATTTTCTTTTTGGGGATTTTCTTTCTTTTTTTTGGGTCACCCTGCCTCGGTGGGAGACGGCGACTTGTTGAAAAATATATATATATATAATATATATATATATATATATATATATATATATATATATATATATATATATATATATATGTATATATATATAATATATATATATATATATATAAAATATATATATATTTTATATATATATATAATATATATATAATATAATTATATATATATATAAAAATATATTATATATAATATATATATATAATATATATATATATATAATATATATATATATATATATATATATATATACGTATATATAAAAAAAGAACAAGTAACCACTCACAAAAAATATAACTTAATTTTTATTGACGCGTGAGCCCAGTCTAATAAAAATAGCATAAAAGTATTAAGTAATAAAATTAAATGGATTAAAACGTAAAGGCTGGAAATAAAGGAGAGAATAGTAGGGAGAAAATATAGGAGAGGAAAGGGTAACGTCAGAGAACGGTAGGGAGGAAATATGGTTGAGATCAGAGGCACAAATATGTTGGACCAGAGGATAATGACGGCGATTAATGTCTGACACAGGCAGCCATGTTTTCTGCAGTTACTGCTGATGTGTTGATGTTCTGGCTGATGTGTTGATGATGTTGTTGATGTGTCGATGTTCTGGCTGATGTGCTGATGATGTTGATGTGTTGATGGTAAGGAGTGACGGGTGTGATGCTTTGGCTGAAGTTTAGACGATCTGCCTGTTGTATTGATGATTTGACTGATGTACTGATGATCTGACTGATGTATTAATGATCCGGTTGATGTATTATGTGTGTGTGTGTGTGGTGGTGTGTGTGTGTGTGTGGTGTGTGTGTGTGTGTGTGTGTGTGTGTGGTGTGTTGATAAGTTGATGGCCTTTGTTGATTCTGGAGAAGTATTGATGAAGTGTGTGTGACACGTTGATGACGCTGTTTATGTGTCAATGGCGCGGGTGACGCGATTCATGAGTAATGGTCCATAATTAACGTAAATCGCAGTTGAAGACTGAAATTATATATGTAAACATCACTTGCAATGTAAACAATACTTCTGTAAACAATCTTACAATGTAAAAAAGATTTTACAATGTAAACAAGACTTCAATGTAAACAATACTTACAAATGTAAACAATACTTTACCAATGTAAACAAGACTTACAATGTAAACAATACTTACAATGTAAACAATACTTACAATGTAAACAATACTTACAATGTAAACAATACTTACAATGTAAACAATACTTACAATGTAAACAAGACTTACAATGTAAACAAGACTTACAATGTAAACAATACTTACAATGTAAACAATACTTACAATGTAAACAAGACTTACAATGTAAACAAGTTAAAATGAAACAATTTACAATGTAAACAATACTTACAATGTAAACAATACTTACAATGTAAACAATACTTACAATGTAAGCAATACTTACAATGTAAACAAGACTTACAATGTAAACAATACTTACAATGTAAACAATACTTACAATGTAAACAATACTTACAATGTAAACAAGACTTACATGTAAACAAACTTACATGTAAACAAACTTACAATGTAAACAATACTTAAATGTAAACAAGACTTACAATGTAAACAATACTTACAATGTAAACAATACTTACAATGTAAACAATACTTACAATGTAAACAAGACTTACAATGTAAACAATACTTACAATGTAAACAATACTTACAATGTAAACAATATTTACAATGTAAACAATACTTACAATGTAAACAATACTTGCAATGTAAATATCACTTACAATGTGAAGAACAAATGACAAGTTAGCACCTGGGTATTGTCAGGTAATCTGGTACAATTTGAAGAAAGGAAACTCCAATTTCTTGGATGAAGAGCTCTTCCATGGCATCAAAGTACCCTTAGGACATGAAAAAAGATTCGGAGGAAAGGAAATAGACGGAAAGGAAATAGAGGGAAGGAGAGTTAGACATAGACAAAGAAAACCTGGAAGAGTTGAGTGCTTTGATGACTCCATCACTGCCTCAAGTGCCGCGTTAGACTGAGCTTCCATCACACTAAACTAGAGTGTGATCTCGTTAGTCAGAGCTTCCATCACACTAAACTGCTCAGTGACCTCCAGACGGGTGCCAAGGCAGAGTGCCAGAGGGCTGTCGTCGTGGGTAGTCACAGTACAGCTGCTCTAGGGTGATGACGCAGCTTAAAGGAGGCTGGCATCACACCAGCATGTCTGAGTGACACGTAAGTGATGTCTGTCTAACAGTGACACGCGAGTAGGCTATGCTAATTTTACCTAGTCGCTACCAGCAAAGAAGCGGGGGCCAGGAGCTGTGAACCGACCCCAGCAACCACAAACAGGTAAGTACACGCAAAACACACACACACACACCACACACACACCACACACACACAAAACACACACACACACACACACACAAAACACCCCACACACACAACACCCTGAAACGGCACGGACAATAACATTAACGATTTCAACACGTAGTAGGGGGCAGCAGCGCCTGTACAACAGGAAGCAATCAGAATGAATCCAGGTTCAGCTCCTTGAACCAAACTTGATTACCAGCCTCTCATCCGTCAGGCGCTGTATAAAATCACATTGATTTGATTCCCCTTAATAATAATGGTTCTACTACTACTACTACTACTACTACTACTACTACTACTACTACTACTACTACTACTACTACTACTACTACTACTACTACTACTACTACTACTACTACAACAACAACTACTGCTGCTACTACTACTACAACTACTACTACCGCTACTACTTCTACTGCTACAACTACAACTACTACTACAACTATCACTATTACTACTAGTGCTGCTACCATTATTACTACTGCTACAACTACTACTACTACTTTTGCTACAACTACTACTACTACTAACTACTACAATTACTATTACTACTACTACTACTATTTCTGCTACTAGCAAAAAAATAATAATAATGGTGATAATAATAATTATAATAATAATAATTACTGACTGTGAGAGTGGCAGAGAGGACTCTCTGATCACCACTCCACCAAGTGATGGTAGGGACAGGTCTGGCACCCAGTGCCAGGCACTCTACCACGTACTCGCGACCAGCTCGCAGTGCCAGTGTTTCCGGCGGGCGGATCTCCACGCTCAGTGGCACCACTGTGGAAGAAAAAAAAAATGTGCCTGGGTCAGTGATGGATTTGAGAGTGTGTGATGGAGAGAGGAATGGGGAGAGGGAGGGCGAGTCGGAAATACGGGAGAAAGAGAGGTAGTGTGTGGGAGAATGAATCAGGAAGAGGGATGGAGTTTGTACTCACCTAATTGTGGTTGCAAGGGTCGAATCATGGTCACTATTGGGTCACTCACCTCCTGCTCTGTGAGCTTAATCATACCTCTTCTTAAACTATGTATGGTTCTACACTCCACCACTAATCACTTTCTAGACCGTTCCAATTTCAGACAACTCTGTGACTGAAGAAATACTTCCTAACATCTCTGTGGCTCATCTAAGTCTTCAACTTCCAATTGTGACCTCTAGTTGCTGTGTCCTATCTCTGGAACATCTTATCTCTGTCCAACTTGTTGATCCTCTCAGTATTTTATATGTTGTTATCATGTCCCCCCTGTCCCTCCTGTGTGTGTGTGTGTGTGGTGTGTGTGTGTGTACTCACCTAATTGTACTCACCTAATTGTGGTTGCAGGGGTCGAGACTCAGCTCCTGGCCCCGCCTCTTCACTGATCGCTACTAGGTCCTCTCCCTCTCTGCTTCCTGAGCTTTGTCATACCTCTTCTTAAAACTATGTGTGTGTGTGTGTTGTGTGTGTGTGTAGTGTGTGTGTGGGGTGTGTGTGTGTGTGTGTGTGTGTGTGTGTGTGTGTGTGTGTGTGTGTGTTTGTGTGTGTGTGTGTGTGTGTGTGTGTGTGTGTGTGTGTGTGTGGGGTGTGTGTGTGTGTGTGTGTGTGTGTGTGTGTGTGAATCGTGTGTGCGTGTGCGTGTGCGTGTGCGTGTGCAAAACAACACTCACTCTCACCCTGCCAGAACAGAGGCTGGGTTACACTCACAGGACGGAGAAGCGACCCTCTCACCCTCCCCCCCCCCCTTTCCTTCACTTGAATGACCCCAGCGGATTTAGCGCTTCGTTAAATCCAATCTACAACCCAGTCCTCTAGCGGCAGTGGAATCAACTACGCTTCAGGTTTCTCTAGAAAGGTGCAGTTTTGGGTTTAATATCTCCAAAAAAATACGCATTAAAAATATCTCAAAAATACTATGCATATGAAATAATGAAATACAGTCTGTGTTAATTTTCAGCTTTGTTGCCCTCTTGCGCCGGTTTTAATAACTAATCAAGTATTTTTCGTGTTTTACATGGACGCTGTGTATTAGCCGAGCTAAAAACGAAAACCATAGTGGCAAAATATTTTCCGAAATTGATATTTGGTTTGTATTCTGACACCATTGATGTTGCAACGAGAATGTTGTTATTCTGGCACCACTGATGTTGCAACGAGAATGTTGCTATTCTGGCACAACTGATGTTGCAACGAGAATGTTGTTATTCTGGCACCACTGATGTTGCAACGAGAATGTTGCTATTCTGGCACAACTGATGTTGCAACGAGAATGTTGTTATTCTGGCACCACTGATGTTGCAACGAGAATGTTGTTATTCTGGCACCACTGATGTTGCAACGAGAATGTTGTTATTCTGGCACCACTGATGTTGCTACGAGAATGTTGTTATTCTGACACCACTGATGTTGCCACGAGAATGTTGTTATTCTGGCACCACTGATGTTGCAACGAGAATGTTGTTATTCTGGCACCACTGATGTTGCAACGAAATGTTGTATTCTGGCACCACTGATGTTGCAACGAGAATGTTGTATTCTGGCACCACTGATGTTGCAACGAGAATGTTGCTATTCTGGCACCACTGATGTTGCAACGAGAATGTTGTTATTCTGACACCACTGATGTTGCTACGAGAATGTTGTTATTCTGACACCACTGATGTTGCCACGAGAATGTTGTTATTCTGGCACCACTGATGTTGCAACGAGAATGTTGTTATTCTGGCACCACTGATGTTGCAACGAGAATGTTGTTATTCTGGCACCACTGATGTTGCAACGAGAATGTTGTTATTCTGACACCACTGATGTTGCCACTAGAATGTTGTTATTCTGGCACCACTGATGTTGCTACGAGAATGTTGTTATTCTGGCACCACTGATGTTGCTACGAAAATGTTGCTATTCTGGCACCACTGATGTTGCAACGAGAATGTTGCTATTCTGGCACCACTGATGTTGCTACGAGAATGTTGTTATTCTGACACCACTGATGTTGCAAACGAGGAATTTGTTTTATTCTGACACCATGATGTTGCAACGAGAATGTTGTTATTTAACACCATGATGTTGCACGTGAATGTTGTTAAATCTGACACCACTGAAGTTGCAACGAGAATGTTGTTTTCGTGAACACTGATGTTGCCACTAGAATGTTGTATTCTGACACCACTGATTTGCACACAGACATTGCTATTCTGGCACCACTGATGTTGCCACTAGAATGTTGTTATTCTGACACCACTGATGTTGCTACGAGAATGTTGCTATTCTGGCACCACTGATGTTGCTACAAGAATGCTTTTATGTTGGCACCGTTGATGTTTCGTAAAGAATGTCGACTATCTTTTTGATGCTGCTACAGAAATGTTGAAAATATATAAAAAATAAAAGGTATCAGGTGCCATTGCAGCTGAATCTCATATTAACCGAACCAAAAGCGAATAGCAACCTGACGCTATCATGGATATGGCTTTTACGTAATATCATTTAATATATGTACTGTCCACCTGCTTCCACATACACACACACACACACACACACACACACACACACACACACACACCCACACACACACACACATATATACATACACACACACACACACATACGCAGTTTTATGCAATATAAAAATTGTGAGAACACAGGCTGAAATATTCAGTGGTCCCTTATTTTTATTGTGCTTTTCTTTAGTCTGTTTTAATTGGAATTTACCAGCCTGCCACTCTATTGTTTATTTTGTAGACACACACACACACACACACACACACACACACACACACACACACACACACACACACACACACACACACATATATATATATATATATATATATATATATATATATGTATATATATAGGTATCTTTGCGATGAGGAGTCTGGGGGCTGTGAATACCTATGTGTGTAGGCCACAGGTAGACTCCATATCCCTGCTCCAGCAGGTGTCAAAGGGAAACCAAACAGCGTCTAACTAGGAAGTGGACCGTGATACGCTGCTGCAACTACTGCTCCTGTTGCTGCTACTGTTGCTTCTACTGTTGCTTCTACTGTTGCTGCTGCTTCTGCTGCTACTACTTGTGTTGTTGTTGCTGATGTTGCGTATCAAACACTTTCCGTATTTCTTCGACATTACTCGCGTTCAGGGCAAAGTTAATTCACTTTCTCTTTGAGAAAATGTTAAGGCAAAGTGAGATCATTCTCTAGGGAACTAGCTGTCTTTTACTCGGCTGCCTTCTCAGAGAGTGTTGAATTGTCTCTCGACACTCATTGTTTCAGATTCAATTCGTCTGCCAGCAGGTACTCAGACTAGAGTTCGATCCCCCCCATCCCCACCCATGCTAACTTGTCAGTTTTGTTTACTGTGATACCTCGAAAAGGAAAAGAAGTAAGAGACACGAGTATTGTGTGTGGGATCATGTATGGGGGAGGGATGGGGAACATATGCACGTGTGCAGAAGCACATATTTCTTTTGAGGGGAGGTCATATATATATGTGTGTGGAAGTATACACTTAAGTATACATTATTCGTGGGATCCACGATGAGGGAGAGAGGAAAGGAAGCATGTAATGTATACCCGGAAGAAAAGAACGCTTACATTGTATTGGAGGAGATGAATGGAAGCATATATTGCATACGGGAGGAAAGAACGTATATATTGTGTGGGAGATCATAATGTGTGTGTACACTTGCGTTAGGGACGGGGTGGGAAATTCCTGAGGCGCATATCGTGCGTTGAATCACGTTTGAGTATGTGTGTGTTTGTGTGTGTGGGGGGGATGAGGGAGGGAAGGGGAAGCAGGAAACTCTGAAGCATATATTGTGTGTGTGGGATCGTAATATAAACCTGGCTGCCAAGGCGCTCTGAATAATTTACAAAGTTTTCGTGGAGGACCAAGAGGAAGGCTCACACTCCAGCAATCTGGGCTGGCTAACTTCTGCCTCATGCAATAATTTTGACGCAGTGAACACAACATAATAACATTTTCCAATGCCTTGCGCTAAGTGAAGGAATTTAAGGTTCTACTGTATTAGAATGACTACTGCGTTAGCGTTACTGTGTTAGACAAATTAGGATGACTCCTGCTTGCAGTAGGAGAGAATAAATAGAATGATATACGGTTTTTTTCTTATACTAAAGAGAATGAGTGGCGGTTCTAATGTAAGAGATTTAACAACAAATCTTAGGGTTCTATTGTGATAGATGTAACGACGTTCGGTTCTAATGACTTGGACTAGAATGGCTTACGATTATGTTGCACTAAATAGCACAATTGAAAGTTCTGACGACTTAGATTCAATCAAATGACTTAGACCTGCTGTGATAGGACGTCATAGCCCAACTTACGGTTCATATCGAGGGTGAGGCCCACCGTTGTGGGGTGCGTGAGGTTGCTGTTGAGAGCTGCACACGTGAGCACCGTCTGAAGGTGACTTCGAGTGAGAGGTCCCAGAGTGAGAGTGTTGTAGGGCTCGCCCCCGAAGAGCGGCCCTGGCGTGGTCGTCCAAGGCGTTGACGTGGTCATTTGAGTCTCTTGTCCGAGGGAAGCCACGACGTTGGAGGCTTCGACCTCGCTTGTTGAAGCCTCCGACTCCATCTCCGAGTCAAGAAGCTGAGAGTCTCTGTACCACACGACTGATGGTCGCGGGCTTCCTGTAAAGAACCTTAGCAATGAAGATAAAAATAATAATAATAATAATAATAATAATAATAATAGTTATAATAAGACGAACATGGACAAATTATAACAAGATTAATCTGGAAAAAATAATTACTCGCCGTCGTTAGGTCTAAAGTCAGTAAATAACGTGGCCACAACAGGTTACAAGTGTGGCCACCACATGTGTCTAACGTAGCTACAACAATGTCTAACGTAGCTACCACAGGTGTCAAACATAACTACCCCAAGTGTTAAACGTAGCTAACAGGTGTCTAACGTAGCTAACAGGTGCCTAACGTAGCTACCACAGGTATCAAACGTAGCTATCATCGGTGTCAAACGTAGCTACCCCAGGTGTTAAACGTAGCTAACAGGTGTCTTACGTAGCTACCACAGATGTCAAACGCAGCTACCCCAGGTGCTAAACGTAGCTAACAGGTGTCTAACGTAGCTACCCCAGGTGTTAAACGCAGCTAACAGGTGTCTAACGTAGCTACCACAGGTGTCAAACGTAGCTCCCACAAGTGTCAAATGTAGCTACCACAGGTGTCAAACGTAGCCACCTCAGCTCTCAAACGTAGGTACCACATGTGTCAAACGCCTTCGTTAAGCCTTAAGTCAGCAAATAACGTGGCTACAACAGGTGTCAAGTGTAGCCACCACAGGTGTCTAACGTAGCTACCACATGTGTCAAACGTAGCTACCCCATGCGTCAAACGTAGCTACCACAGGAGGTAAACGTAGCTACCACAGGTGTCTAATGTAGCTACCACAGGTGTCTAACGTAGCTACCACTGGTGTTAAACGTAGCTGCCACACGAGTCAAACGTAGCTACCACATGTGCTAAATTAGCTACCACAGGTTTCAGGTGTAGCTGCCACAGGTGTCAAAATTAGCTACCACATGTGTCAAACGTAGCCACCACATGTGTCAAACGTAGCCACCACATGTGTCAAATGTAGCTACCACAGGTGTCAACCGTAGCTTCTACAGATATCAAGTGTGGCCACCAAAGGTGTCAAACGCAGCTACCAAAGGTGTCAAACGTAACTACTACAAGTGTCAAGCGTGGCCACCATAGGTGTCAAACAGATAAGGCAGGTATGACAGTGACTACCACCTTACGAACAACAGTGATCACAGACAGTGCACCAGCAAGTAACCAACACAGTGTCACTAGGAACAGTGACCAACACAGTGCCACCAGCAACAGGGATCAACACAGTGCCACCAGCAACAGGAATCAACACAGTGCCACCAGCAACCGGGACCAACACAGTGCCACTAGGAACAGTGACCAACACAGTGCCACCAGCAACAGGGATCAACACAGTGCCACCAGCAACAGGAATCAACACAGTGCCACCAGCAACCGGGACCAACACAGTGCCACTAGGAACAGTGACCAACACAGTGTCACTAGCAACAGTGGCCAACACAATGCTACCAGCACAATGACCAACACAATGCTACCAGCAACAATGACCAACACAGTGCCACCAACAACGGTGACCACAAACAGCCCACCAGCAACTGTGATCAAGGCCGTGCCACCAGCAACAGTGCCCACCACAGTCCCACCAACAAGAGTGACAAACACAGTGCCACCAATAACAGTGACCACCACAGTGCCACCAGTCAGCAGTGAGTGTTGTCCTGGGCTCCACCAGAGCTCAGGCTCAACACTGTGATAAAAGTTTTCTCAGAAAAAAAAATCCTGGCCAGAGGAAATTGGACGGTATTCGGTCGGAAGTTTATGGAAGGAAAAAAAAACTGCCTAACGCCATTCAGAAAGAATAAAGTTGGCGGTGGTAGCGGTGAAAAATGCAGCGCAAGAAATAAAAAAAAATAAAAAAAACTCCGAGAAATGGGTTAAAAAAAAAAAACTGACGGAGAGGATGCCTTACTGCAGCAAATTAAGTTTACTGAGGAGAGCATTGCCTGCAAATTTCAACTGTGTAAAACGCGTAACGGCGCCAGAGAGTAGCAATAGCGGCGGGGTGAGTGTGCCCACCCCTACCCCGGACTCAATAATGGAAGGGTGCAACTATAAACACATTGCCGGTGTGAGTGCTGTCTGGAGCAACTCTGTCTCGTGTATCATACGTATGAGAGCCGCCCAATAAAACCCGCTGCTGCAGTCTAGTAAAGGAAAAGATGAGTGTAACAAGCAGCAGGTTTAAGGATGCAATGAAAACAGCGCTGGTGGCAGTGAGAGTGTGTGATGTGCTAGACGTGAGGTGTACACCAGAGACTTCCAGTATTCATAAGATGTGTGACTGTTGCTACACAACGCTGACAGGTCTACAACTGGACGTGGACGCTTCTTCCCTTTCTGCCACACCGCGTTTATCGCATTCTTCTGTGTCTTGACACTCACCACTGGTGAACCAAGACAAGGAGATATGCAGTGAAGATATGCAGTGAAGATATGCAGTGAAGATATGCAGTGAAGATATGCAGTGAAGATATGCAGTGAGGAAGGAAGACGTGATCTACAGTGAAATGTTTAGTCGTGACTGAACGAAAAAAGTGATATACATTGAAAAACTGTTTGACAGGAGCTGACGAAAAATTAAAGAAGTTCCCCAGTGAATAACTGCTTAATGGCGACTGAAAAATAAGAGATAAGTCTGCAGTAAAGAAGTGTTGACTTAAGACACTAAACAACACGAGTACAGGATGCGATATATTCCTAATGGCTAACGCAGCATACTTTATGTCATACTCTCGTGTCATTTTTAAAGGCTACAGGACAGGATAGAACCTGTATGCAAGTTCTTAAGAAAAAAATTGCACAAATCATATAAAAAGCAACAACCACTTCTAAGGATATCGATTTATTTTTTTTTTTAAGCTCAGTGACTTTCGCTCCGTCATTATTAATTCATTTACTGGTACGCAAATCCTGGGAGCACGGGAGGCTGTAGGTGGCTCTTGTGGTGAGTGTGCTTATGTGGTCACTAGTGGAGTGTGTGTGTGTGAGGCCCTCGAGTGTATGTGTGTGTGTGGCCCTCGAGTGTGTGTGTGAGGCCCTCGAGTGTGTGTGTGTGAGGCCCTCGAGTGTGTGTGTGTGTGAGGCCCTCGAGTGTGCCTCTGTGTGTGGGGCGCTCGAGTATGTGTGTGTGTGTGTGTGTGTGTGTGTGGTTTGTGTGGTGTGTGTTGTGTGTGTGTGTGTGTGTGTGTTGTGTGTGTGTGTGTGTGTGTGTGTGTGTGTGTGTGTGTGTGTGGGGTGTGTGTGTGTGTGTGTGTGTGTGTGTGTGTGTGTGTGGCCCTCTAGTGTGTGTGTGAGGCCCTCGAGTGTGCGTGTGAGGCCCTCGAGTGTATGTGTGTGTGAGAGGCCCTCCAGTGTGTGTGTGAGGCCCTAGAGTGCGTGTGTCAAGCTCTGGAAACATCACCGCCGCCACAAGTGCAATGGTGAATAATGGGATCAGATTACGACTCGAATATCCTACTGAATATTCATGGCTGAGGCTACCTTGATGCTTATACTCCCAGTACCACTACCACTTCTAGTACCACTCCCAGTACCATTACCACCAATAGTACCACTCCCAGTACCACTACCACTCCCAGTACCACTACCATTCCTAGTACCACTCCCAGTACCATTACCACCCCTAGTACCACTCCCAGTACCACTACCACTCCTAGTACCACTCCAGTACTTCCACTACTTCTAGTACCACTCCCAGTGCCACTACCGCTCCTAGTACCTCTCCAGTACTTCTACTACTCCTAGCACCACTCCCAGTACCACTACCACTCCTAGTACCACTCCCAGTACTACTACCACTCCTAGTACCACTCCCAGTACCACTACCACTCCTAGTACCACTTCCAGTACTACTAGACTAACAGTATAACTGGATTCCCAATACCCCTGGATTCCCTGTAAAACTGAACTGCCAACACCAATGGACTCCCAATATCACTGGACTCCCTGTACCACTGGACTCCCAGTACCACTGGACTTCCAATACCACCGGACTAATATCACAAATAGATTCGATCTCCCAACGCTTCCAGGAATACCATATCACATTTGTTCAACACATTGCTTTGCTTGTCTCCTATCTTCTTGGTATTGACAGTTCTGCTGAGCAGCGAAAACCACCTTTTGAGTAGCTGTTCTCTGTTGACTGTTGTTTATATTTATCTGTTCTCTCTGGTTGTGTGTTTTTTCTGTGCTGTTCTCTGTGTATTGTGTTGGATGATACTTTCTGTTTACCTTCTTCCTAGTTGCTTATTTGTGCTGTTGTTATATGTTCTTGATTGCACGCAATTTTTCTGAGGATTCGTTTAGTTTTTGCATTCATCTGTTGCTCTCTCTCTCTACCTATATATATAATATACATATATATAATATATATATATATATATATATATATATATATATATATATATATATATATATATATAATATATATATATATATAATATATATAATAATAATATATATAATATATATATATAATATATATATATATATATATATATATATATATATATATATATATAGTATATATATATGTCGTGCCGAATAGGCAGAACTTGCGATATTGGCTTAAATAGCAACGCTCATCTTGCCATATAGGACAAGTGAAAATTTGTGTATGCAATAACTTCGCCAAAATCATTCTGAACCTAACGAAAAAAATATATTTTATTGTGTTTGTTTAGTACTAAATTATTGTAAACGTATTTAAAATATATTTAGTTTGGTTAGGCTAAAATAAATTGCTCTTGTTATAATAAGGTTAGGTAAGTTTTCTAAGATTCTTTTGGTGCAAAATTAAAAATTTTTACATTAACATTAATGAAAAAATATGTCTTTAAACGTATAAGAGAAAATTTCAGAAAGGACTTAATTTTAAATGAGTTCTTGCTAATTGACCAGTTTTACATATTCGGCACGACATATATATATATATATATATATATATATATATATATATATATATATATATATATATATATATATATATATAT